CTCTCTCTCTCTCTCTCTCTCTCTCTCTCTCTCTCTCTCTCTCTCTCTCTCTCTCTCTCTCTCTCTCTCTGTCTCTCTCTCTCCCTCCCCTCTTTCCTCTTTCCCATGCATATGACCAAAAACATTAGGTAGAAATGTGATTTATGCCAAGATTCACCTATGAACTAGATATGAAGAGACCAAGAGACTGCTCCTCCACAATAATTTCTATGTGCTTACATGTATGGAAAGGTCAGAGGTCAGCATCAGGTGTCCCCCTAAATGAATCGCCCCCTTATTTTTTGAGTCAGAGTCCTTCACTAAACCTGAATTCACTAATTTGTGTAGACTGGTTGACCAGCAGACCCCACATGCTACCATGTGTGCTTTCACAGGGATGTTGGGAATCCAAAATTGGTCCTTTTGTTTACATGTCAATCACTTTACCAGCTGAGTCATCTTCATCCTCCTCTCAAACCCCCTGGATATTAGTTTAAAACAAAACCATGGAATAGCCTAACAGAAGTCACACTACTTTTTTCTTTAAGACAAAAGCATTAAGGTTGTAATTACATATTCTCCCCCTTAGAAGAATAAATTCCCTACTCTTCCATCATTTGAGGAGACACTGAGGAACTGAAGATTTCCTGTTTGGGATGTTGTCATAAACAATACTTTCCAACCTTTCAATGAAGTCAGTAGGCAAAGAGACAGTCAGGTTTTAGTGCGTTGAGTTTCTGTCAGCACCAGGTAGTTTCTATCTCCAGTTTCAAACAGAATTGATTTTACTTAGCATTTATCCTTTCTCCCATTTTCTATTTACACAGGTGAAAATAACACACCTTGAAATTCATTTTCATTTACTCGTGAATACATGATTGTTTCAAGAGGAACCATGTTGATAAGGGTACACCTTTTCACTTTTACTAGAAAAGTCATTCATGTAAAACTTTTGCTTCCCTACTTCTGTAATATGATGGTAACTCTTCTTGGTCATTTGCCCCTTAGACAATGGATGAGTGAATTTTGAGGCATAATTGTCTTTAAATATAGAGTAAAATCTTTC